GCCCCAACACTGGAAGTCTTTAAGATGTTGGGTAGCCGTTTGTCTGAAAGGTATAGGGTTTCCTGCCTAGGCAGGGGGTTGGACTAGGAGACCCCCCAAGGTCCCTTCCAACTCTGGTATTGTATTGTATTGTATTGAATATCCACAGTGTGGGAAAAGTTTCAGTCAGAATTTCAACCTGCTGAACCGCGATCCCGGGGAGTCAATCAAAAAAGGAACTGTTCCTATTGGTTCGACACACGTGCCGGCCGGCAGGAGAATTGCAGCCATCAGATTGCTTAACCATCTGACAGCTATGCTATAAATAGCTGTCAGATGGAAGGAGAATTGTTCTAAGCTTTTATTGTGGTTGTCAATAAACGCGTTAATGGTTCAAACGTCTCTGTTTCCCTCAGTCGCTCAGAACGAAGCAGCTTTGATGACAGGATCTCCACGTTTGTTAACAACTCCTGCTGTGATCTGGTTTTCTTGGAGGTGCCTGCTTTTTCCCTTTGATGGCTGCTGGGTGATAGCAGCATGCTGACATATCTATTGTATCCCCTTGGTGGTGGCGATGTGAGAAAAAAAATGAACGGAGGAAAAATTGAATTTTAATAATTGTTTGTGTAATGTAAGAACAATCAATAGCTTTTGGCAAGGAAAAAATTGGGTAGCTTCAGTGCTGCTATGATTGTTGGGGCAAAGCAAGGCACTCAGAATGGGCTCTAACTGCCAGATGTGCAGTGAACAAGTTTAATAATAAACTTAAATAACACAAAACCCTTTTCTCAATTCTTCGGTGGCGAGGTCTCCACACATACAGTGAGTTTCTAATACTCTACAATTGTTAATCTACCTGTAATCTGTCTCTTTGGCATTCGGCATCTCTATAACCAATCTGTCTCCTTCAGCTTCATTTCTCTCCCCATTATAAATTTAAATTTTCAGGTCCAATGGTACCTCCATCCAGCCACTCTGTGCTTCTGATGTGTAATGTAATTAGACTTCTCCCTCTTAATTTGTTGCATTGCTATTTACCTCAGTCCTAAACTCTATGAAACAATGACATTTCTTTATGCAAAGTTAAAAAATTAGAATGGCTAAACTGGATCCGTTTGGATTGGCATTCTTCTCAGATTCAGGGATGGTCTTCTCCACCATTGCCAGTTTGGGAGATCAAAGTTAGGAGGTTTCAAACAGGAGAACTAAGATAGGTTTCCCTTGTAACTTTACAACCCCTAAAGCAGCCATTGGATGTGCCAGTGGGTTTGTAGCTTTTGAAACACATAATATTACAGAGGATCTATCTGACTTCCCTGATGATTCTCCCAGTTCTCAACTGGATCCAACAGACATTATGAAAGTTGAGGTCCTTGTGGGTGGAAACAGAGCCAATAGATGAAATGGCCACTATCAAAAATCTTACCTTATTAAATCTGCATTAAAATGGCAGTGCAGGTTACCACTCTAAAAACGTTAATGTGGTTTCCAATCAGCCTTGTTCTTTGGCGGAATATTCTATCTTTCCTTTCTGTTTTTTTACAAATAATTCTTTTTAAAAAATATCTTCTGCCCTATACAGACAATCAAGCCCTCTTTTTTTACACCCCATTTTCTAACCCTGCTGCATATTGTTCTGTCTCTGTGATCAGGATTCCATTCCCCACTATCCTGTCAGAGCTGAAGAGGCTTCTTGGAGGAGAAGAAAAACATCTTCAAAAGAAAACAAATAAAAAAGTCCACTTTCCTTCTGAAAAAGCACCTTTGGCACATCTAAGAACAGGAATGACCTTTTAGGGCATAATAGGATTAACCCACCACCATTAGAATAGCAAAAGAGGCAGAACTCATACATTGCACAACCCCAGCAGCTTCACAGAAACCTATAAAGATCCATCCGCCCATTCAACCAGTCGGTCAGTTGCCCTGGAACCAGAGGCTGGTTCTGCTCATCAATAAACGGACCCCCTTTCTTAATCAGCCTCTATTTTATTCCTGGCTTGGAACTAGGCCTGGATTTTCCTTCTAACAGGAGGTAGAGAAGTTTAAAAAAAAAAAAAAAATCTGG